GTAAAACTGTTTTTTGTCAAATGTGAATAGTTAGTAAGAAATAAAAACATTTTCCAAATTTGATCAAAATATGTTCACAAACAAGCAAAAACTACAACAGTTTAAACTTATTCTCCATAAGAATAACATGGGAATTTTAAATTTACAATTTTTTGGAATTTTCTCTGTAACCATTAGGCGCATAATAACGCTTCAATATACTAAATTATTTGTTTTTTTAAGCTCTACAAAATGGTTTGGAAAGAAATTGCTAAATTTGATGTTTTTTGGGTCAAAAATGGGAAAAACCTTTTTTTACCCCATAAAACCCCCCATAAACCCCCGTTCTCATGGTCCGATCATGCTGGATCGCGAACTCGTTCGAATAAACGTACGTTTACACGTTTGTACCAAATTTCGTCAAAATCGGATCATTTTTGCTGGAGTTATCGTGCTGACGGACACACATATATATATATAAATATATAAATATATATATATTATATATATATATATATATATATATGAATTTGAACGGATGGTGTTTTTGGCCTCTAGGGACCTCAAAACGAAAAAAAAATCGGTCCCGCGTCCAGGTCTTACCATGAGTACTACGGTAATAGCTTATTCCCTATATGGGAAATTCGCTAAAAAATAAAAATAGCAGATTTTCTTAAGGGGAACCCCTGAAACCCCCTCCTAATGTTAATCACCCCTGTTAGCCCTTCACAACGTTCTAATCTAGAACCACCACTAATATGACAACCCCTACATGGGATCAGAGGCTGTATAGAAAATGTTACTACTATAAATAAACAATTTAAACAAATAAATGTCTTACCTGTTCACCGCTGGATTTATTTATTACGTAATAGAGAGATCTGTGACCACACTCCAATGCATTTTACGAATGTTGGTTAGAGGTACGCAAACTTGAAATCTGACTAGGCCTAGAGTCGGTTGATCAGGGTATGAACCTGCAAAAACATTAAAAAGCATTAAGTCAATCAATTTCAAAACATCAATCTACAATTCCAAAGAGAAAAGCTAAGATATTATCGATGGAATAACTTATTAAGTTACTTACAGTATTACATAATGGAATAAACTTATTACATAATATAGCCTAAGCTATCGAATAAACTTAAAATATAGTAAGTTTAATCAATAGCCCATTAAGTTATGTAGGCCTATAAGTTATTGAATTTCAATATTGATTTTACATGTTAGCTTATGAGGATTCTTAAGTAGATTATCGCCATTACAGGTAACTTATATATAGTAGGTCCTAAGTAGCTAATAAAACTTACAAAAAAAGGATAAGTTTACAATTACAAATTGAGGTCCAAGTGTAAATTTATTTGTTTAAAAACAATTACTAGATATAGCCTACTTATCAACTCTTGTGTATACAATTTACATACAGTAGGCCTTGTTTGTAATTATCTTTAACTACCATACCGGTAACTTAAAAAGCTAAGCCAAAGTGAAATGTTAGGGTACTTTGGTATTATGCGGAGGCCAATTATTTTAGAGTGATATTTTACTGGAGAGTCCAAAAATAACTACATACTGTAATAGGAAAAAACCTGCTTTAATTGACTGACTGTCCAGATTTGACATGATTACAATTAGCGGCCTTTGAGTTCTGTCTCCCAGAAAAAAAGGCAGCGATGTCGGGGAGGATTGAGTTAAATGCGTCGCTGCCGCTATACTCCGCCAAGTAACTTAGGTATACAGCACGCTGCGTCATGTTAGGTTGGATTATCAAATATGTTTATAAAACTTTCCTCGTTTCGTTATGAATTGAACTATACCAATTGAGTCATACTTTCGCCCGCCAAATACCCCAGATACAGGTGGTAACAGGTGATGCATGCTCCGGTCAATGACCTGGCTAAGTACTTGAGGGGATATGGCGTGCAAAAGTAATTTATGACTCATCTGGTATTGTAAGAAAACCCAACCTAACATAACTGCGCTGTGTAAGGGTGGCCTCCGGATAATACTAAAGTACCGTACCCAAGTTAACCCCACAGCACGTGTATACGAGTCTTTTTGAAAAGCATAAGTAACTTAAATAAATAAGTTATTTAAGTCATAAGTTATCAAGTGAAAACTTCTACTGATAGGCCAATGATAGAAATATCAAACTAAATTTTCATCTGATAGCAAGTTAGGCCTAGGCTATAAGTTAGGTTCTCTACAGACTTGTAGGCTACCTATCAATTCAATCGCTCTAACAACTGCAAAAAATTTCAACTAACCAGCATCTTAGGAAGCGACTTAAGCTTTCATAACTTTAATGTTCTTAAGAAACCAATTAACTCTTACTGATTATCGGATAATCCTAAAAATGTTTTCAAACTTCATCAAGTCCCTACGTTAACCTTATTAGGTACAATTACCTTACCGCCACCCCTCAGAATCTTCTGATTAATACTTTCTAGGCTTAGAGGTTAATAATCTAATCTATTTAATTGTAGTCAATTATCAAATCAAGGAGACAATAACATGAATGGATTTATTAGGTAATAGCCACGAATACTTTAAAGTATTCGTGGTAATAACATATTTCTACCTGTACTTCTCGTGGAAAAAGCAAATCCATTTGATCTTGATGCCAGACAAACATAAGTTACCTAATTGGTCAAATTCTTCCTTTGACCTTACATAGCCCGAAATTTCCTTGACGTATAACAATTTAAATCTGTTAAGCTTCCATCTCTTTTAAAATTAATTCCATTTTAAAATCTAATTTACGTGTATCGTGTACCTGGCCACCTCCAACAACTATTAACTAAGTCACACAAGACAATGTCAACAATAAACAACGTAACGTACATAACACACGTAAACGTAAACAAACACAAACATAGGAAGGATAAGGATACGATTATTCCGTCGTCATAGAACCGATTCGATTTCAGTAAGAAAGAAATATCGCAGAATCACGATAGATCGATTCAATCGTATTCTGTCCGAGTATCGTAGTGAACCCTAGGCTATCCCATCACAGTCGGTGGTAATGAGAGGTTATAAACAAAAACATAACCTCTCTTAGAAAATAATGGAAAGTAAATTTTAGTAATAAAACACCGTCATAGGTAAAGTAGTGTACGCAACTTGCGTAAATAGTGTTAACGACACAAGTAGAAAATTTAAGGTACAAGCCTTACTATTTTGTAATTGAGACATCCTTAATTATTTAGTATAATGTAGATTAATAAATGTACACAGATAATTTGTGTCTTGAAACGTATTAATTATTTTCGTATTATTTTTGTCGTATCACACACTCATTATTTTACTTCAACAATAAATAACGCACCATAACAACCCGGTATCGAGTACACTGTAATACATTTTCGTCCAATGACAGTGTTTTTTCTATCTAAAGACACTAAATCTAGAACAGTCATATGCTATGTAACTCGTCCAGACAATTATTTTCCGATAAAAAAATTACATTAAATTAGGAAGCCGATTCTGTTGAGGCACCACTCTTATGTAATCCTGAAACTTATTTAATTTAACATAATAAATAATACTGTTTGAATATAATGAACTATACAGGGTGTTCAAAAAGGTAGGGACATAATTTACATAGTGATATATTGGGTCAAAATAAAGATTAAAACTTTTTCTAAAATAAATTCGTTAACCAGATATCCACTATTTAGATTTTTTATATGCACATTTTTATCTTTGGATTGATCCAACCGATCTTTATGAAACTTGGTATATATGTTAAGGTATAAGCGAATTTTTGAACACCCTGTATAATTCAAAATATTCTCATTCAGGGAATCAGGATACATTCAATAGCAAGAGCCAGATTTGGCTCTTTTGAAAGCGATTTCACTTAGAAATAGCGCTGGTATTCCATGATGTATTAATTATTGTACAAACATACATCTTATAATATATTTTTTAACCTGATGGTCCATCAGTGTCAGTTCCCATAGGTACAGTACCAACAGATTGCGATGACGTTGGCATTTTTCGTCGTGTACAATGTTTTTGTTTAAAGTTCTTTTTTGATGATCAATAGTTTATGGTATTAAATAAATTATTGCAGACACTTAGTTGCAGACACTATTGTTTCACGATTAGTAAAAAGGAAGTATTTACAAGGTTCACTCCGCCATGTATTCTCCCCTGAGTCAAAAGATGGCAATCGTGTTTGTAACTCAGATTGCAGCTATGGGAAATCACACATTATTAGGTACTGATCAAGGATATTAGAACCGAAACGGCATGGGTCATAAACACAAACAAATAACGTCACTGACCCGAATATTGATAATCTTAACATCTGGTTTGGCATTTTTTACAGTTCCATCTAAACAATAATACAAACGTGTTATCTTTCGGGCCAGTTACTTCATTTCTTAATGTTTACGATAAATCTCTTTCCTATCAGAATTATTTAAGCCAATATTTTAAGTAAGATTAACTGAGTAAAAGTATCTACTTACTCCTGTAAAGCCAATAACGTGCTATTACCAAAAAATTATCCAATACTATTTTCGATTGTTAATAAACATGTTGTAGAACATAAAACGGTTGGTAAACGTGTAGTTATCCCGTTCAGGGAGGTCCTCGTTAATCTTGGTCACCACTCCCTTTCGTCCAAAAGAGATATTCAAGATGCACTTTTTCTTTTTAAGCTTATAAACAATCATCTTGACTCTCATCTCCTAGTGCTCTCTTATTTCGCAGTTTCCTTGGAACACGGTTGTGGGACCTCTTTTGAGTCCCATACAGTTGAGGACCTGCTGAATTCCACCCTCAAACTCCTAGATATTTTTAAGACCTCTTTGCCACTGCCCTTAAGAATTGTGCATGAACTAGTAACGCCCCAATCCCCCATAAAAGATTTAGCCATCTTTATACTTGTTTGTAATTTTAAATGGCCTGTCCTATAAAATCGATAAAATAAAATAAACATCTTGCTACCAAGGTGTCACTATAATCCAATCAAAAACCACTAAAAAGGGTGAATTAAACAACGTACATAGTGTTTAAATATTTTATTTATCTAAAAATGTTACCTCATAACTTAATCACAGACGATATAAAATTAAACTGTCTTTGTGGTATGGAAACACATTTTCGAACATTTATTCACTTGATGGTGGATGGAGTTGTGTGGGATCAGGATTATTGGTTGTTAGGTACAAGTGTGTTACCCAGTACAGTACACAAACTGGCATTCTCTTGTGGTAGTTCGATGAACTTCTTGCAGGGGTAGAGGTTCTGGACGAACTCCAGGGCTGAGCTCAAACACTGCTGGGCCGCTGGGAGGAGGTTGGACACGACGTGGATGGGACCACTGTCAACCTGGCAACCTGGAGAAATATACATTATCAATTCACTTCTTTCATATAAAAATAATAATTTTGTATGAAAGTGATTAAGTGATTTTTTAGGAACAGCTGTCAAAATTCCTGAAACTATTGTGGATTTGCTAGGGATTGAACCCGTATCTCCTGCATGACATTCCGAAACACAAAACTCTTAAGAAACACAACCCAAATCGAAGCGTTGAATACAAAAGGTTTAATGGGCTACATAGCTTATTTATTTGAGTTTTTACTTGTTGGTAGATTGGTAGATTGGTTTATATCGTTGGTTGTATGTAATAAAATACGACTCCACTTCCCGCAATAATTGATATCAGCAAACTGACACGGAAATTCTCCCATTTGCAAGCTTCTGTTACCATAAAATTGAACATCCTACTACTTTTATGAACAACAAAATTTGAAAACTATTATACTAGGTAAACAGAGTTTTTACTATGTGTTTTTAACGGCGAAAATAAAGGCATTGCAGTAACTTTGGAACCGTATTTTTTTGCGTTCGGGGTTGTGTAATTTTGTTTCAGTTTAAACGCACTCCAACATACTAAATTCCAATCAAAATCGTCTTTAAAAATTGAATAAAAAATCCATCAATTCATGGAGAAACCATGGTTTAGTATCCACATATCAAATTTCATCAAAATCCGACCCCAGGAGTCTGTAGTTTTGTTGCTCTGTACACATCCACACACCCAGAGGCACACAGGCATCACTTCGAAAACCACCCATTGAGTTCAGTTGACCCAAAAAATGCATTACCATAAAGCAAGGTTTCTAATCACACAAATCCAGTATTTTCATCAATTATTTATGGCCGAAAATTAAGACGTAAACATAAATACAGCAGTTTCATTGTTAGACATTTCTCATTGTTTTTAGAAATGGTATACTGGTTCAACATTTTATCTATAATTTAAATAGGCCTATAGTTTTACAAGATATTTTAAGTATATTTTTTAGCTCGAACACTGAGCCATAAGAGTGCTACCCCTGCTCATTGATGTTTTAAAGTACTTCTGTGATATAGGTTGAAGATAGATTGGCATGTAAAAAAGAGAGGACCTAGATGTTATGGATGTGATGCATAATTGATTAAAAAATGAATTATATTGAATATCCATTCGAAGAAATACTATCACAATTGACAAATAGTAAAATAATAAATAAACAAAAGTTTAAAAATCGATGTTGATAATCATGTCATAAAAGATATTCAAGAACCTTGCTACTAAATAGGTAATATGTACAAAATACTTACATGGGTTTTCGAAACACCTCTGGAAAACATAAACACCGCAGAGGATGTCAGCGTAAATGATCTCGAACTTGAATCTGCATCCAGATCCTATTGCAGAAATGTTAAATATAAGTAATATTTATATATGAACATAAAATTGGTATCTTAGAAGGACACCATTGATTTGTTTATACATCAGATCAATTAAATTAAATTTATCATCATAATAATTGGGTGGACTTCCGTATCTGTTGGCACAAACAACCGAATGAAAATATCGATTATTCGATTGTTTCATTCGATATATCGTTTGGACGCTAACTAACCAAACGATATATCGAATAATCGATATATTGATCGATATTTTCATTCGGTTGTTTGTGTCAACCGATACAGAAGTCTGCCCTCATAATTTAATAAGTGCAATGGCATTCAGACATTCAACTTAATTTCAGTGTTTAACAAAAATAGTAAGCGGAATTTATTGGAGAAAATTAAAAATAGCATCATTTAGAAGTAATTTTCAGTTTGATTTTAGAATAAAATATGAAACACACTTTCTTGAAACTTGGTATATGAATCTTAACTTGCTTATGGAACTAGTATTGCCCTAATTTATTGTTCTTAATCGAGATGTAAAATTTGACAAAACCGTTATAATTGGTTGTGTAACCCTAGAATGCAGAATGTCACGGTAAGGAAAATCAGATTGCACTCAAATGGCATTTCTATTTCCTCAACAATTTCCACAGGTTTTTGAGGTTTTATTTTAGGCTCAAATTTACCATTAGTAATGAGGGATTTTATCTTGGGCATTTTAAGCTTTATTGTTATCTTATGATAAAATTTTGCCTACACCTTTTTTGTAACGTTTAACTACGGTGCAAAGTATGTTATGCAAGCTAGTATCCATATAAAGATTTGATGATTTTATAAAGTGCTACAAGTCTCAAAATAAACAATTTTGAAACTCATAGGTAAACTAACTCTTAGGACACTTGGTGTATTGAACTGTTTTACAATACGAATAATAAAATACGTTGTATAACAAGTCCAAAATGACAAATATCTTTGTTGAGTATATTTTGTGGTAAAGTTTTGACTAATTGACTAACTGTTAAGTGTTTAAAAGCCTAGGAACAAAAATTTGGGATGTACGACTTTTTGAAAGATTCACATTCAAAATTTGAAAACAATGATGGGTTTGATACAAGACTAATAATTTAATGTTAACTTACTAATTGTCATGCGTAATAAATTAGTTTTCACCTATGAATAAATCGTATTGGTTTTATGAGGGTCTACCATTTGACCGACATGTCAATTGGTCGACGAGCCAGTTGACCGACATTTCAAATAGATAGCTTACTCTAGTCTAAACGTACATGCCAAAAGTATACACTCTATTTTCTTTTGTTCATTATGGTGGTTTATGTTTCTTACACTTTTGTCTTTACATAAACTTGTGCGTTATGTTAAACACTTATAATACATGTTATTGAACAAAAATCTCACCAATGGCTGTGAACTGGTAAGCATCGTTGATGCATTCGATCTCATACTGCCTCTGTTCTACAGTTCCATCTTGGCTAGAACACACCAGATCTAACACTAATAACGTTAAAATTATATTTAGTATTACATAGCTAAATAATAATTGGCAAAATGTTATCATTTATCCGATCAACGTTCAAAGAAGACAGGGCTTAAAATTCTATAGAGTTGCTTTTTTGAATGATTTTTTGTCTCAACACCTAGCAACAACTAGGTGGATAGCTGAGTTATTGTGCTCTCCTAGTATTCAGAAGGTCACTGGTTCGATCCTGAGAAAAGCCGGAAGTTTTTTAAGGTTCGAAACTAGACCCAGCTGGCCTTAATCATTCGGCTTTTAATAAATAATCCTGACTGATGAAGGCTACTCTTAGTCTTCTTAGACACTGTTCAATGTACTGTAAATATGTACTAAAAGAATAATGAGTGTTTGAAATGAAATGAAATGAAATTAGCACTCTTTATATTTTTTATCAAAGTAAATTCCATGTCTATAAGATTGATCGGTTCTTGTTTAATGTGTTATGTTGAAATCATCATAGCTATATATACAAGTTAAAATAATTAAGTCATAATCTATAATGTATCATGTACTAGTACGTTACTAGTCCAGACAAGAGGACGAATGTAAGTTGAAGTTGAGTGCGGGATTACCATACGAGTCCGTTAAACACATTTTGGACGAATAACGTACGAGATTTTTCACCACACTACTCTAAACTAACCTAACAGTAAAAATAAACTGTACAAATCTGTCATATATTCCCAAAGACTAAATGACTAACAATTACTACTCGTAACATAAGAAATTATGTTTTTTCATAACCACTCATTGTCAAATATAATCAGCTGGTTTCCGGTAAAAACTCATTACAGTACAACAGTACGTAATGAAACCTAGTTGACTAAGCAGGTGGTAAACAGCTGTTTTTCGGTCTAAATACCTGTGTGGAAAGTTCGTTAAAACAGCATAGTGTATAGGGAAAACACATTTTTCATAAGTTGAAATGATATTTTTTGGCGATACAGTTGAATAAAATGTAACTTACTATGTTATGATCTGGCCGAATGTGAAGAGAGAGGCCAGATCCAGAAGAGGAACGAAGAGGAAACATACGTTGTCGATGTACGCTCCCTGTGGGCAGTCCTCTACGTACTGGACGTAGAAGAAGGGGTTGAGCGCCAGCTGGAGACAACAACGGAACAATGTTAGTAAATAATACACACTCAAAAACAATCGATTGTCACTGGGAGCGAATTGTTGTTGTTGGCGATTGTCAGGACACCATATTATAGTACACACACAGAAATAAAACATGGAACAATAAGAACAAAAACGCATTAGCATTCTTCCAGGTAGAGAACGAAGAGAAATAGGTTGAGCACATCCTTAAGAGAATAATGGCACAGAAAATATAGTTTAGTGCTTAGACAGCTGAAGAAAATAATGGGACAGTGATACAGTATTCAGAAGAAAATCAAAGAAAATTATTTACAAAAGAAATTTTGAACAACCCTTCATATACTGGATGAGGATGAAGATGTAATCACCTTCTGAAGATAATAATGTCATAAACTTAATGTAAAAGAATATTCAAAGATGATTCTTTCGGGTGAAAAATGGGAACAGTCTTCGAAACATTGGAAGTAGAAGAAGGGGTTAAGCGCCAGCTGGAGACAACAACGGAGCAATGTCAGTAACACACACAAAAATAAATCATATGGAACAATAAATCCCTTAAACTGGTGACAAGTTGAAGGGGAGATACAACTAGCCGTAGGTACAACTAGACGTAGGTACAAGTAGGCGTAGGTACAACTAGTCGTAGGTACAAGTAGTCGTAGGTACAAGTAATCGTAGGTACAACTAGTCGTAGGTACAAATAGACGCAGCCGTATGAGGTACAAGTAGACGGTGGCGTACCCGACTGGTTGTACCTGCAGATTTTTAAGAGGTACAACTAGACGTAGAGACAACTAGACGTCCGCACCATCATCAAGTTGTACCTACAGCTTTGGACGAGGTACAACTAGACGCCTGTCACCAAAATGCAGCAGGTACAACTAGACGCCGGTACAAGTAGACATCGCCCCAACAATAAGAACGAAAACTCATTCAGTGACAACCCGTCCAACAGCATTCAATCAGCTAAAGGATGAAGTGAAATAGGTTGAGCGGTGTTCTTCTCTCCTTAAGAGAATAATGGCACAGTGTCGATGTACACATGAAAACAAGATATAACCATTTATAAAATAACTGTACTACATGTACTTGGTGACGATAAATGGCTTAGACAGCTGAAGAAAATAATAGGACAATGATATTCACAAGAAAAAACAAAGATAATTATTTACAACAAAATTGGATCTCTTGATATTACCGGACGAGGATGAAGAGGATGTCACCTTCTGAAGATAATAATTTCGTGAAGTTAATGGATAAGAATATTCAAAGATAATTCTTTTGGGTGAAAAATGGAAACAATCTTCGAAATTTTGGAAGTAGATGAAGGGTTTGAGTGCCAACTGTTGTTATTGTACAAGGAAATCAAACAGTAGAAATAACCTTCCTCGAGCTAGATCAAGAAGAATATGCTGAGTGCGTTCTGGTTATATTCATTAATGACACATTGTTAATGTTGAAGAAAGGGGTTCAGTGTAGGTGTTGTAGCCTGAATTCAGTACTAGTTTGAGATCAAAATAACTCCACATGAGACGGTACGTTTGACTACAACAAAACCATTCTTTGCGTTGGCACATTTTAATCATCTATGGAACATTCATGATACACAGATACGTAATACTTCGTCTATTCCACGAACTACTTCTTCTTGTTCTTGAGGCTGCTTAGGCATGTTCATAAGGTTGACCTTAAGGTTAAGCAGGCTCATGTCCCCCCTGACGTATCAGCTGTAGAACTAAGTTTAATTTATGACCACGAAAATTCATATAAGAGAGGGACCAATACAACGTACGAAACGATTTTGTTGTAGGTACAAGAAAATCTAAGATGATTATTTCGAGTTGTAAATGTGAACATTCCTCCTGGTTTTAGACTAATAGACTTAATAGAATGATTGTTGTACCAGCCAAAAGTGCATGGTAGTTTTGTCATAAAATAACTAACACACAGCCATTCAATTTAGTACATTTGATTTGATAAAAAATGGCTTATTTATCATTGAAGTTAACTTAATTCTCTACATTTAATTAATAAACTAACTAACTCAACAATGAACAAACTATATTTTACATAACATTTTCAAGTTATTGCGGAATATGCTGATGATTAAAATTAATCTTGTTGGTTATGTTAAGTATTATAAACTGTTATCTCAACTAAATGAGCCCATGGATCCGTAGAATAGTAGAACCCAGAGTAGAACCACTGTTTCAATTCACCCGCCATCAATATGTGAAAAAATAAATGCGATATCAAATGATCCGATAGATATATTATTTAATTATAATTATAAAATATTATTTTACTAACACATCAGAAGTAAGCAAAGTCATAAAAATAATCTAAGAGCTTAAGTTTATGTTTACTGTTTACATTATTGGAAAACTTACCTCTAAAATAGAGAGATCTTCCGGCACTGCGCAACTTCTCTCGACGCAGAGTTCGCAGCATTCGGGGCCCTCACAAACGGGGCATTTCTGGCCCGGGGGAGGGGCAGGGGGCCCTGGCAGTGGGGGCCCAGAAATGTACTGCTGTACGGGCTGTTCTACCACCTGCAGCATTTGATATATTGAAAATCACACATCTTTAATAAACAATAAATGCTGAATTGTATTGATTTCGTCCAAATGAACAGCTGATTGAAGCTTGCCTAGTATTATTAATAAAAGGTTAAATACCTGTAGTACTGTCAGTGATCCTGGATTGAGGTCAGTGACCCAGGTATCGAACCTAAAGGTTCATTTTTCCGTCTCTTACCATCAGTTAAAACCATCCAGTAATGTGTTTTAACTGATTACAACAGCTTGAAAATGAACCTTTAGGTTCGAAACCTGGGTCACTGACCTAAATCCAGGATCACTCACAGTACTACAGGTATTTAACCTTTTATTAGTACAATACGTGATCCAGAGGCTAAACATGTCTTAATATTATTGTTTTATTATTGTTTGGGAAGTTTCTACACCAGTATAAAGTGTTAAGGAAAACCAACTACTTTTAAAGAACGTAGCTTAAACCCATTAGTTTGAAGAGAGGTCAGGGGTCGAACTCGTCATCCTTTTATCTAATTCCGAACCACCAACCTCTAAAAGCGTCACCAAAACATGATTTCAGCTGATTACAGTTTGAGGTTGTTACATACCTCCATATTTCACAGACAGCTCTTGTGTTTTTAGTTATTCAGCATTTGGAAATAAGGTAAACAGTGTATCAAGATATCAACGAGGCAAAGTTTTGTTCAGGATCATAAAAGAAAGAAATACCACATAAATTTGGGAAAAGTAGACAAAAGGCAGTCAATAACGCTTCAGGATTTGGAACCATCCATTTTGGACTATTTTATATGTAATCAAGTGTGATGTAATTAATAAATTAACGATGCAGGATTATACCTAGCTGAGGATAGTAATGTTTACAAAATTTTACAGGTACCCTACAGGTGGATGTTTCAACATAATTACATTACAACCAATATAGACATCGTTTTATATTTTTTCCTAATGCCTGAAATATTTGTAACAATCTTGATTTTTTTAAATGCGTGCATAATTATCTAACTTTAGCTCTCTATTTTCCACATTTTATTTAGATTTATGCAAATCTCCCTGGTAGGTCCAATTACTTATATAAATTTTATTTTTGGAATGTCAAAACACATAAAATTGTCATGTTGTATTTATTCATTGTAATGGATTTTCATGATAAAAGTGATGGTAATTTATTTATAACATCTTGTAGCCCCTTGGACATAGTAGCATTGATTTATATAGTCAATGATAGTAGTGCATTCGGATAAATATGCATTGGATGTGGGATCAACGTATTTTTCTCAGTTTCAAATTGTCAGGGAATCTGGGTATCCGAGGGATTGTATAATGCTTGACATCAAATCTGAAGGCTGCTAGTTCGATTCCAAGCGAGATCATAACTTGATTCAGATGCCATTTTCGTAATTGGGTTACCAATTAATGATTTTATCTAACATAGGTCTACGTTAGATAGTGACATGTCCTGGGTTTGGACCGTTTCCTTGCAAAACATTTAAAATGCCACTGGCCTACAAACTGTCCGCGAGAGTAAAGAAGTCCCTTGAGCCAGAGCGAACGCAGCTATGTTTGGAGGTTATCGCACACTATTTGCAGGCGCTAAGCATCTGCGCGCCTCGCCTCGATGTCTGTAAACAACTGTTGTAAACATAATTACTCATATCATATCTTTGTTTTGGTAAGTGGATTATCATCATGTGGTCACGTCATTTGATTCAGTGCAGTCTCGTGTGTTCGCGTAGTGAGTTCGTTTTGTTTTGGACGGTCCTTGTAGCTATGGATTTAAGAAAACGTGGTGCTACTATACATAGTGGAGAGAGGGATTTAATTAGACGGGTGATCGAGTGTTGTGACAACGAATGTAAAGACAAAAGGTTATTAGTGCCGATAGAAAAGGCAACAGAACGTGCCGCAAACTATTGTAAAGTGTCAGAAAAAACTATTAAACGAATTAGAAAAGCCGGCAAACAAACACCGGATGAAAAACTCTGTACACCCGGGAAAAAACGCAAGAAGGCTGACCACCATAAAGTACAAATAGATAGCTTTGATAGGCGTGTAATCGTAGATGTAATACGCGATTTTTACACGAACAAAACAATTGTCCCTACATGTAAAAAACTATTACCTGTTTTGAGAGAAAGAATAAATTTTAAATGGAGCGAATGGACACTTCGACGTCTCTTAAAAGATATGGGGTTCAAGTGGAAGAAATGTGGTTCCAAAAGAAAATGTTTGATTGAAAGGCCCGACATTGTAAGTAAGACAAAATATACAGTGTCCCACGAAGAGGTTCACACGTTTGATTTTACAAAACTAACCTATTCATTCACCAAAATACAGAGCAGTTTCATAATTTTAAGTTTACAATAATTGTATAAATAAATGTTTGAAATATTTTTAACAATTCCCTATTCGTACCATATGTAAAACATGGCAGCATATTAAATATTTTACCAATTTTCTTCCTATACAAATTACTTTCTTAAATTATTAACTGATTTGTTTTCTGCATTGTAGATTGGCCACTAATTGTTGAACAGCTGTTTTGTTGAATAATATTGCTCAAGTCCTGAAAATATAACATACCCAACGAATTAAAGTTATACCGTTGAACTTACCCTCTCACGTGCAGTTTTTCTAAAACTGTTATCGAGGAATAACTTCTAACTTCTAAACTAACTGTTGAACAAAAGGTAAGGTGTTGTGCGATCATTTAGTAAAGTTACAGAAGCAGTTAGAAAAATTTAGGTTGATTACACATGAGTTAGTCCACATCTAGCAATAACGAAGTGGACAAATATTTTGTTAGAAAATGGTACTGTCGTAAAAACATTTGTTTAATTGTTTCTGGAACGACACCTAAAGCAATATTATTTGCACAACTCTTTAACTTTTTCTTGTACATTAAAACTAATTCCTCGATCTTTAGTTTAATTTAAACTGCACTTGAGAGGGTTAAGTTAAACTTTTATGGTTCAAGCGATATTCTTCAATCAGCTGTTCAACAATATGTGTCAAAACTGCAACGCAGTACATAAACAAATAGAATAAAAACTCAGGAAAGTAATTTTACAAGAATAAAATTGGTAAATGTTTAATATGCCACCATATTGTTTCTACGAATGACAAAAAGCTGAAATTTTCACAAAATATTTTCAAACCATATTTAATAAGATTGTCTACAGTTTAAAAGTGTATAGTTCATAAATGGATAGAAATCGAAAAACTTCTAGTTTTCGTGGGACACCCTGTACACAGACTGCAAAAACATGCACAATCTGTATCATTGGTGTAAATATTATAAACAATGTCTCTCTATGAACATAGTGACAAAAAGATGGTCCATTTATTTTACTTATCTACAAATAAGTTCTTGACTACACCATTAAACATCTCCGCTTGTCTTTTTGACTCTACCATCTTCGACTAGATACAATACCATATCAAGCAAAATAGAATTTAAAAATCAACACAATCTATGGGTAATTTAACCATAAGATCCTTGAGCAATACGCACTTCAGCGGGTTAAAATATATGGCATACTTCTGCATCAACCGGACTACAAGGTAACTATAGACCGAGACAGGGTAGTAATTCAATGTTGTTTGCAAAGGAAAATTTATTGAGTAGGTGTTGTCATAGACAAAAAGAATTAAATATAGTCTGTCAGCCGTGCTTTGGTTACCATGGTTACCATAGGTTCTAGCGCACACCACTGGGAGCACCATGTAGTTACGGCCTACGCACTACGTAACTACACGGCGCTCCCAGCGGTGTGCGCCAGAACCTATGGTAACCATGGTAACCAAAGCACGGCTGACAGTCTATATTTAATTCTTTTTGTCTATGGTATTGTTACTATAACAAATTATTTGTTCGGATGCAAGCGTATATCATTTTTTGAATGATATAGCCTTAAAATTTGCCATATTCATTTGAGAATAGATGTTAGTGAAGCTCATTTAATAAGGTGTAGACTGTAATACTTTTATTAGAAAATTCTGGCAAAGTGACTACCTACTTAAGAGGTTCGTCAGATTCTTTGTTGCAAGGGAGGTGCCCACCTAGGAACATAAATATCACGAGGAACCACCCTCAGTGTACAACCATGCCATGGTGTCCCGGTATATCCGAGCCCCATTAGCTTCGAATTACCAAATGGCCCAATTATCCCCCGGAGGAGTCCTCCAATGTATGAATATGATATCGAGTGCCTAAATACACCAGCTCGTAAGACGGTTAGTCCTTCTAAATCCGTATTTCTATGACTAACAAGATACATGTTTCCTACCTGTGTGTCATGTACAATGGAGAAAACATTCTCGGAGAAACATTGTAAAAGGTTTGATAAAAATGTTCTCTTTTCAATAAAGTGACTGTATCATGCGGGCAACTAGTATGATCATTTCGATAAGCCTGGCCTGGCTGTATGGATTTTAGCCTTAAATCCATCGCTATTAGGATGCTATTTTTTACTTAGAAATGTTAAACTCCTGAAAGGAGTATTGTTGCACTGGAACAATGTAGCGCATCGATCGAAAAAACAACATTTATGCGGGTGGTTTTGATTAAACAAAAAAGAATTACAGCAATAACATCTGTAATAATACAGGGTGATTTGTACTCAGTGTGACAAAATTTTTTTGATGTAAGTACAAAGTAAATGAAGTGTGATGATGCATATCACATGTTCCAAGTCTCAAAATTAGCGTCCCAAAAAATTATTTTATGTTTTTCAAAAATAACCATGCTTTTAAACTTAATACAGCGATTTCTCAATTACCTGTATATGGATTTGAGTAGATAATGTCATTTTCGTGTTCTACATTAAATTTTGAACAAGAATAATGGAAAATGACGGAGGATCAGTTGTAAAAACTCCATTGTAAATAGATTCAAAGATAAAAATTAAGATATTTGATAAAAATTGTAAAAACAATGGTCTATTGCATTTTTCACACCCTGTATACAAGAAAGTGTCGGAATATGTTAAAAACTGCGC